ATATATATTGTGTGAGTGTAACAGGATGCTGAAATATAATATATGAAAGAACATTTTGACAAAATGAGGAGGAGAAGCTTAAGGAATGAAAAATCTAAAGAAGTAAATAAAGTACAATTTAATGTAATAATAGACACTCCTTGTCATCTATACTGATGTTCTTTGCTATAAAATTAATGTATTAAAATTGATGAAACTTCTTATTTCCAAAAATATATATTGCATAAGATATTTTTCTTATATTCTTTAAATCTTAGGGTCTTTGAGAATAGAATGAAAGGAAAAGGAATTGCCTGACAAGCGGCTTGAGATGGAGAGGATGTGTAGCATGTGAGGAGGAGATAGGACAAGCACACAAAATTTTAGTTAGAAATCTGGAGGGAAAAGCCTACTAGACATAGATGAAATAAAGACACTCCTTGATTTATGCAATAGATGTGTTCCAAAAATAGTAGCAGAAGGCAAAATTGTATAAATTGAACTTAATTAACCACTGTACTGAAAGTTTCCATATCCCCTCAAAAAGTTATATCAATAAATGCACAGAAGAGGTTTTGTGGGTAGGCCAAGTTTTCCCTTTTCTGGTCTCATTTTTCCTCCATTACCTACACAATATCTACCCCTACTTCCCAATACCTCTAATTTCATCAGCCAGAATGTAATTTACCTTAAATCAAATGTGGTTAACAGAAATAAGCCTAAACTAGTCGATAATATTAAAATGAAACTGTATTTTTCAAACTCACATGCAACAAGGAGTAGCTGTATTAAAATGAATTCCAGTGAAATATCACTATATTTTTAAAACTTTAGACAAAATTTGAACATATTATTAGTCCTCAGAATTAATATTTACAAACTACTAACCGACATTACAAAAATAATAACATCAACAAGAATATTATTGAGAATTATATTTTATCACATGCTTCCTTTTTTCTCTTTCATGGCGAATAACATCACACATCATTTCAAATCTTGGAATTATATACACAGAGAGAGATACAGTCAGTGAGTCATCATGTACATTGTTTTAATTTTTGAGAATATGAGAATGACTATGAATGACATTCTTGCAGCAGTCTTATGACGAGTCATATTAGAGCTTCATAAAATCTGATTCTGGATTTTAAATTTGGGAATAATGGTTAATTATGATGATAAAAGTAATAGTAAGATGCATTACTGATGGTGTTATTGTTATTTTCTGATCTCTTACAGTGCATTTATACTTGATGCAGTCATTCCAGTAGGCTGAAGCAGAAAACTTAGTCCTTAAGGCAACAGGATTCCCAAAAACCAAGGCTGGGCCTATTCCTATCATTCCTCCAGAAGTATGATACAGAGGTAGAGGGTTGTAGATTATATCATCAGGATTCAATTGTAACAGGCACTTAGCAGAAAATATTACCAATAGGCACCTGCAACAGAGAAATATACTGTGTCATAATAATTGTTTTGTGTGTTACACTGAAGGATTTAATAATAACCTGGCAACTTCATAGAGTACAATGTGTTAAGTGGCTGACTGACTGACTGACAAGGATGTGGAATAATGCAGTTTTGGGCTACAAGTTGGACAACCAAGGGGTTGGAGCTTGAGGTCATGAATTTTCTCTTCTGTGCAGTGTCCAGACTGGTTCTGGGGCCCACCCAGCTTTTTATCCAATGAGTACTTATGGCTCTTTCCCTGGGAGTAAAACAGCTGTGGCGTGAAGCTGACCACTCACCTTTAACTAGATTCAAGATGAAGAAAACATGGGTCTATACATCTACTCCCCATATAGCATAATTAGTTAAGCATAGGGACAATTTTACCACCAGCATTAACCTGAAGGGACTGACAACAAGCACAAAGCACTTCAATTATGTAGCTAGTCTCTAGACTATGGCTGGAACCGGGAACTTCCAAATATGAAGCCAGTGTGCTTTCCATCATGCCACTGCCCTTAGTCACAGACATCAGAAATGCAGGAAGCCCTTACACATCTCTTTCTGAATAGTTACAGTTTCAGTTATTTGCAGTATTACTTATGTAGCATGGAAATCTCAGAGGTTTACTCCTTTAGGAGGTCTGCATTTGTTGGGGACATGGATGTAATGACATTCAAAACTAGTTTTATTGCTTGCAGGCTTGTGACACTGTTATTTTCCATGTTAGGTGGATCCCTTGTCACCACGGCATGGCGCGTCCTCAGGTTGCGGATGGAGGAGACGCCCTTGAGGTATGGAGGGAAGCAGCGAATATATTGAATAAGAAGTCGCGGACAGCCGACAAGGGGCGGTCCTCCAGTTTGGGGGTTGGGCGTGGGGCTAACGACTTCTCACCGTAAAAAGAAACTCGTTACGAAAATTCTCAAGAAGCCTCGGAACTGGACGGATTCTTTGGATAAACGACCTAAGCTAAAGAACATGGATATGAGATGTGGTACATGGAATGTTCGAAGTTTATCTTAGAGAGATAGGATTGGATGGTATGGATTGGATTGATCTGGCTCAGGATAGGGACCGGTGGAGGGCTCTTGTGAACACGGTAATGAACCTGCAGGTTCTATAAAATGCTGGGAAATTCTTGAGTAGCTGCAGAATTGGCGGCTCCTCCAGAAGGGCTCAGCTCCATGAGTAAGTAAGTAAGTATATTGTAACGTGTTTCGTTACTGAAGACGCCGTTCAGAATGTTAATTGGTTTATTCAACAACCTACAAGTATCGGCTACAATTAATTACAACAGGGTTACGGGTTTACACAATTTACAAACCCTACACACAAATCAATTCACTCTGTCACGATCCACTCATTACAACTGAAATCGGTGACTACTACAATTCAATTTACTCCTTACTGCTCACTGCTGTCTACATTCCAACTTAACTTGTAGGCTGCTGACTTGAGAACTCACTTCGGCAGCTGATACGCTTTAGACTGACTGCTGTGGCTGTGTAGTTCCCTTATATAGTCGCAGTGCTTGCCTGTTACGTAATTGGTACTGCTGTTGCCTCATGCCGTGTTACGTCACCGCGCGTTGCATGCCTCGTCACAGTAGGAAGCGGTGCCACGTAGCCCAGGGGGGGCTACGTCACCGTGGCCAGAGCTGCCACGTCACTGCTGGGGGAGGGAGGGTTTGTCTTCCATTGCGCAACGTGTCACAATATTATTGTACATGGTACCAGTAGCATGTGTGTTTAATGAATCAACATGCATAAGTGCTAATAGTGGCTGCAGTTTACCAAACCCCAATTTTCTGATAAACCCTTGGTCTTGCCAGCTGCAGTTTCACCAACCAACTGAACTGAATTCATGGTTTTCAAGTACCCCACATTTGGTGAGGGACTGCTATACTGAAATATAAATATAAAGGTCAAAGAAACAGAGAAATCACTGTTACCGGGAATGAGGAACCAGGGCAGGCTTTGGCAGACCAGTTGTTCCAGATGTGTAAATGTAGAGTAATTCATCCATATATCCTGGTCCTTCAACATTTGGTTGGCTGGTTGAAGCAGAAGCCAAGAGTAAGTTCAAACTCTTCACATTACTTGCTTCTGGTTGTTTTCCTCCCAGCTGATATTGTTCCAGAAAAATGTCTAGTGAACTGACAACTTCCTGGACAGCTGCAGAAAGTGAAAAGTTTGCGGTCTATATTTTATGTCTAATTTAATTTCTAATGTGTTGTTACATAGAGTACTATCGGTTTTTAACAAATTAACAGGCAGCTTTTTAAATTAGGCCATGTAATGTTCCATTTAAATGAGGAGACAAGAGGTTAAGATAAACTGCCTTGCTGATTTATAATATAGCAGTCCAAATAGTATTTATTTTAAATTGCACGGGTTCTACATATTCCTTTCAAAAGCTCACACCTAACCTAACCATACAAATTTCAAATTGATCACTTTAGAAAGGTCTTCCCTTGTGGAATAATATGATTCAGTTGTATTGCAGAAAACCTTTCCTTTTTTACAAAGAGGATTACAATTTGTATCGATTAAGGGAAAATCCCTATGAATTCAGTGCACAATCATTTCCTTTACATCCTCTCCCTTCACCCATTTTCTTCCTCTCCCTTTTCTTTTCATAACTTTCTCTATTAAAATAGTAAATTAAGTTGCAGCTTTATATTTTTTACAACCTACAAAATTATGTGAACACTATTATAGCATGAGAATGGCATAACATACACACATAGCTAGGTAACACACATACTGTAATATTCTTTATGGAAAATCAAAAGTACAGTGATGCAATCAATAACAGTGCTTGTTCAAAGAGATTTAGGAACTCCCATCATTATCATCATCATATTAGCACAAAAGGGAATATATGGGATAATGTTACATGGAAATTTTATTTTAAGCTTTATAATGTCTGCCAGAATTGGAATAGGCAGATGCAAAGAGGAAAAAAATTTCATTTTCATATCCAAGCATATCAGAGATATATCCTTATGACATAAGATTTGCAAAGATGTTTAAGACAGCTTTCTTTTTGAGCTTAAAGTAAGAAACTTTTGTTGACGAGCACCTAAATGAAAATATAATAAGGCATCTGTGTAAATGGAAAAAGAAAGTTCCAACATTAACATTTAGTGAAAACTACAGAATGGTTTGCCTTTCATAAAAATTTAAATACAAATTATTTTTGAACTTTATATACCTTATTTTGAAAATGATTTATTAGTAGCAACATAAATTTATTATATTTATTTTGGATAGACAATAATTTTCCAAATACTTATAGGGAGCAGATTTTCTGTGGGAAATAAGTGCTGGTGCTTGTGTATAAAATTTACCCAAAAACTTCTCCTCCAACTTGACTGATTTTCACAAAATTTTGTATGAACCCTATGCATTATATCAACAAGTGATCGTTTAGAAAACACATTTAATATGCTTTTAAAAACGCTCATTTATATCTTGGAGAAAGTCTCTAGTACTGCATATCATCATGTACAACCAGAAATGAAGAACTGATTATAGGTAACCAGTCTCTGAAAGTTTGCTGTTTAAAGTCTCACCCACCTGATGACAATTCATGACTGAATATCAATGCTTTTGTCTTTACCACATTTAGGGTATGACTCAAAGGCTGATTTCGCAGATTATGGTTGATCAGCGAAGTGATGACTCCCAATTTAGCTAGTCCCAGCCAGATGCAGATATATTCAGGACAGTTGCCCATGAAAAGTGCAACTATATCCCCTTTTCTATATCCCGCAGCAATGAATACTTGAGCAACTCGATTGCTGAATTCTTCTACCTAGAAAACATAACATAACATGATAATTATCAACATTCAAGTGTTATCCCATTGTTCTGATACCTTTAAGAGCCAAATCTGACCAAATTGGCTCAAACAGTAACGGTTCTGACTTGAATTTTGGAGATGCAGTTTTGAATCTAGACTGAAACTCAAACTATCCTCACAGTTTTCCTGTGTCCCTCCCAGAAAATTTCGAGATAGTAAATCAAATTAGGCACCCATCGCATTGTTCCAGATCCTTTTAAATTCATTATTCTCTAATCATCCTACCATTCAAAACTACATGGTGTAAATTACTGATAAGCTCATTAAATGAACCATAAATAAATAAATAAATAGTAGCATTAAGAGCCTAATAGTGGTCTATAATGACTTGTGACAGTTTCAACAATTAATAATTGAAATATTCCATTCAGTTTTTGCCTAGGTCAGTCATAAAGTAAGCACAAGCAAAGAGACAAACAAAATATATACACACAAACAAAGACAAAACATACATAATTTTAAATTCATGTGTTGCTTTCTATGGGCATGCCACTTGATCTTTCATCCTCAGAGGAGCATGGAGAGGTGTTTGAGAACAGGCTGACGTAGAGAATATTAAGATTTAACAGGAAGAAATAAAAGGAGTGTGGAAAGAATTGCATAACTGGAGAGGCTGTCAAGGGCCATCAGCAAATGACTACTCCGCTCAGCATGGTCACAGAAGGAGATGGCCGAATTTAAAAACATATAAATATCTTGGAAAGAACAAAAATACGGGCATGGGTCCCTAAAGGCTGGAAACCAAGAAAGACTGTGCTGGCAAAGGGCAGCAGCAGATTACTACTTTTCTCTGTTCTACATAACTGAGAGCTTCATGATTTTCTCTGATAAAAATATCGATTTTATCACAGAGCGGCTGCAAAGGGGGATTGAATGAAAGAGGATTTGAGGGGTGTGACATCTAGTAGCTTGGGAAAACAGAAACAAGACCAAAGTTTTTGTTGGGAAACCTAAAGAAATGAGAACACTTTGGAAACATGGGTGTAGATTGGAGAATATTAAAATGGACCTTACATAACAGGGTGTGGAGAGGTGAACTGGATTCATCTGGCTCAAGATAGGGTTCTGTGGTCGGTTCTTATGGATAAGTCACTGAAACTTAGAGTTCATAAAATGTGGGGAATTTCGTAACGGACTAACTACCACCCTTCAAGAATGAATAGATTCAAGGAGTTAGTTTGTGTAGGTGACATATGTGGCCTTCGTTTTGATTGCTGTTGTAAATATGTTTTACAGTAAGGCCTCCTTTTTACTTAGCTGTCCGGTTTCTATGCACCTATAATTAAAAATAAACGGAAGTATGAAACTTACCTTCAGGGCTCATATTATTTTTAGGCATGCACAATCATGTATTTATTTAATCCTATTACACTTACTGAGGCTCGAATGCACATATATCAGTTGAGTCTCAACTGTTGTTGTTCATTAACCACTGGTCATTTTCGTCTAAAAACGAAATGACATCCATATTTCCACCCGTTCAAATCTCAGTCATCCATAGCTGTTGATCCCTTCATTATGTATTTCTTGAAAATATTTGCACTTTGCATTTCACGAGAAGTATTTAAGAACGCAAGGTATCTAGCTCAGCAAGCGGGAAGTTCCCGCTTCTAAACAATCACCCAAAATGACCACACGCAGAACAAAATGATAAACCAACAAATGAACACAACAAAAACATATACCAAACATGTGCATAACAGCAGCAGGATAATTAATGTAACCTAGAATATTCTGATGCATTTACCTTAAGAATAATGTGGAAGAGCATAGTAGCAGAGCAGCAGGTTCCTTCAATCTGCCATCATATACGCCTGAGGATGGCCAGTTAGGCCGAAATATGTAATGTTATACTCGCAGTGTGAACATTAATATATGGACGAAGTTGCACAAAATTGGCAAGGAGTGGGAACACACAGTTTTTTTTTATTGCTAGTGGGGTGGGACTAAGTCCCTTGTACCGCGGCCACTTTTGGCCTATTGTACCAGCTCCAGATGATAGGTGAGGGTGATTATGGAGCAATTGATGGAATGAAGATTGGCAGGGGAAGCCGAAGTACTCGGAGAAAATTGCCCCAGCGCCACTTTGTCTACAACAAATCCCACTTGACCAGGCCCGGGATCGAACCCGGGTCGCCGCGGTGGGAAGCCAGCGACTAACCGCTTGAGCTACGGCGCGGCCTGAACACAAAAGTTTTTTTTTCTGTGGCGCTACAGCCCCAATTTTGGGCCTAGGCCTACCTCCATGAAACTCCGTTTCACTTCGGTTTAATAGATCTTACACATACGGTAGGACTCCTTGGGCGAGTCGCAAGGCCTCTACCTGTAGACAAACACAGAAAAACGCACACAAACATCCATGCCCTGAGCGGGATTCGAACCCACGATCCGGGCTTCCGAGCGAGCGAAGACAGTGCATGCCTTAGACCGCTCGGCTACCGTGACCGGCTGAACACAAAGTAAGTGATAAATAAATATTAGGGCAAATGCGCCATATTTCGAATACTTTAGGTAGGAGCCATAATTTTTTGTAGCTGACAGAATCGTGCGCCATTTGTATTTCGTTGTGTTCAGGTGGCTTAATATGTTTAGTATGAGAATTAGTACTTATTATTACCTGAAAAACAGCATATTTTCGAAACCTAAATAAAAGCCTAAAAGTTGCAAAAGAAGGGTCCTTGAAAATGCTGGCTCAGTTTTTTATAAGGACGGTTACTTATTTCGGATACGTAACAGTTTTTTTCAAGAAATGTAATTCACAATAAATGAATCGTAATAAAGAGAAAGAAACGAGAGAAACGTAGGTCTGTAATACGCACAAAAATCTTTTTTTTTATAAAGAAGAAAGGGCATACTAGAAAAATATTAATAATATCAATATATGTAAAATAATCAAATGGTTTTCAGCATGCGTTAACACATAGTTGTAGACTTATATGAAGAAACCCGGGTCAAGTGGGATTTGTGGTGGACAAAGTGGCGCTGGGGCGGGTTTTCTCCGGGTACTTCAGTTTCCCCCACCAAATTCTCCATCATCACAATCACCCGGGGCAGGTACGGTAGGCCAATCAGTGGCCGCCGTGCCGAGTGGACCCAGTTGGACTCCACCCCCCACTAAGCGAATTAATTATATGAAGAAAACCGTTTCGAGTCACAATTTAAATTCAACTGTTTATCGAGTGCGATATTCACACAAGTACGTCTTTCAGCAAATCCATTTTCTTGTCTTTTACAGCCCGCACTGTACTTCTCATGGAGTCTATGATCCATTCCTATCTTTCAGTGTCAGCCACCTAAGAACAAATAAGACATCAAGACTATATACGTGTAGAAAATGGTTCCCAAATTCGGACACTCGAAATTCTCAACCACGTTAAATATCCGAAATTGGGCAACCCGGTACTCATCTAAACATGGCAGCATAGCGGGGAATTGAAGCTTTTGGAAGCAATGGAAATACATGATCGACATATAGTGTATATAAATGAGTTCATATAAACGACATGCAAGTTAAAACTCTTGCATGGTTTGGAAACCTTATCTCTGGAAGCCAAAATGTTACATCAGAATTGGCAGAAACACTGACGGGAAAGCAACACTACTGCTTTAATGTCCAGTGTACTGCTGCTGAGAAATTGGTCGAGCAGGACGTGTATGGTCCTGTGGCCACCAGCACAGTGCTGCTCTTACTTTCTGAAAAACCCACGCTGTCCGAAATTAGGCGCTTATCCGAAATGTAACTTCACCGTGCTACTTGGATTGCAGTCTTCTGAATCATAGCACATGGTAGTCTCATAGGTGCTTACCGACGTTTCCGAGAGATTTACTGCCTCCATCTTCCGTGTAGAAAATCTTCTCTGATGATGGAGGCAGCGGGCTCTTCCGAAAAGGTGGTAGCCACCTACAGAATACACGGTATATAATCTACAAGACCATAATCATAACTTCAGTTCTCTCAAGTCTGCTACGTTCAACTTAATCTGTTTGCAAATAATTATCATACTGACGGAAACATAATTTATATTAAACTCGAATATTGTATTTAATTAGAATATGTGCGTAACCTACTCATATGAGCGGTTAAAGATTGCAGTCTTGCCTGACCTTGAGTTTCTAGTTTCTGATGACCTATACCAACAACATAAATACGTGCCCAGCGAAAGTAAGGCTTATTGAGCACTCCCGTGTGGAGGCGGGGTCGAATACCTCCACCGTGACCTTGCGAGTCGTAGGAGGCGACGAAAAGGGAAGTGTCAAGTCCCAAGGAACTCGGACCCGAGAAAGACTACGTTGACAGGTGTCAGCAGCATATACAAAAGACAGACCCGTCCTCTCGTCAGAGAGGGCGCCTCACAGAAAACAAAACCGTAACAGTCAAACAGTATTAAATATATGGTCATGCCCAGATGGAGCTCGACACCAAGACTTACTGACTGACTGACTGACTGACTGTCAGTCGCAATGCGACTTTGACTTTTTTCAGTTTTTTTTTTTTTAATTCGCTTAGTGGGGCGTTGGAGTCCAACTGGGTCCACTCGGCACGGCGGTCACTGATTGGCCTATTGTAGCCTAACCCGGGTGATTATGATGATGGGGAATTTGGTGGAATGAAGATTGGCAGGGGAAACCGAAGTACTCGGAACTTGTGTGTACGGCTTTGGATTTCTTCGGTGGGGGAGAATTCACGTGGTTCCACTGTTGGCTCTGCCGTTTGCTCTCGGGTTCAAAATGGTGGCACCAAGTTTCGTCCCCAGTGGCAATACGGGACAGAAAGGCATACTGTTCCTCATGGTATCGATGCAAATGACCCGGTGATGCAGCCATTCTCTGAGTCTTCTGTTCCTCCGTGAGTTCATGTGGAACCCACTGCGCGCAGATTTTGCAGTACAGCAGGTGTTTTGTCACAGTACAGAACCTTGACTTATTCCCATCACACGCGAAAGTGACATGCT